TATCTCGGCCAAATATTGTCCTATCCTAACAAAAACCATACATCAGAGTAACCAGCATATATCATTTCAATAAATATAACTAAAATCTTACAGCCTATATAATATAATATAGTATAATGTAGGTTAATGCTAGGATAAAATAGAAATAAAATGATACATATATGGTCAATATACAGCACAACATCTAAAATGCCTTTTTGCTCTTTGACAGATGACCAGCGTCTTAAGAAGAATCAGGCATTTCAAGAACAAGTATCTGAACTAACCTTGCGTTTGCTGTTTGGTTTCATTGTAAACAGACCAGAGCCAACTGGTCTTGTCGCCACTGGAGCTGGTGCACATGTTCCTTGCTGTCAGCTGTCCCACAGGAACCTCTCTTCTCCCGGACACTAGAGCAGATTTCGAGATCCACGGCGTGCTGGTGGTGTTGTTGACCGTCCATATCCCGCTTCTAGTGTGCAAATACTTAAAGTGCGTGAAGAGTCTCTTAAAACCCTCCTGATTTCTGAGCAGGTTTGAAAGTGGCAAGAACATGGTCGGCATATTTCCCCGCACCAGAGCTGCCTTCTGTTTGACAGACGAGTGCTTCAGCTATACATTTTCCTACAATACAGTCTCAAATATACACATGCTTACTTCCGTTTGCACGTTGACAGGCTAATTTTCATAATAAAAGTAAAGAGCAACAAAAATTGCCATTATTAAAAATAATTCAGAAAAGAACACCCAGAGAATAATTATGTTTTTTAATAATTATCTAATTACTTTTTTCCTAAATTAAGTTATAAAAAATCTTAAATTGTTAGAGAAACTCTGAATTAGGCTATAATAACACAAAACTAAATAACTGTTACAGAGCATTGAGTTACAAAGTATTTTATATGACAAATGAAGACAGTACAATTTGTATAAATTGCTTTATTCACAGAATAAAAAAAATTCATCATTTTAGTTAGGCTTTGAAAAAAAAAAAACATTTTTCATATATATATGTATGTGTATCTATACACATTAGTTACGAAAAACAAATCAACAGGTCATTGTTTCTGAGATGCCGAGTCTGTCTGTCTTTCTTTCAAGCCAACAAGTTCTGTTCGCAGTTCTCCAGGCTTTGGTGGGACCTCTGGAATGGTCTATAAGGTTAGAAAAAACATTGTTTATACTGTACTTAATGTTTAAGGTCAACATGAAATCAAAATGTACCCGATTTGTTTTCAAAATGCACATTTCTGGATATATTGGGAACAATTCATTGGTGTATGTAATTCAATCAATCAATAAAATCTCTACAGTTAAATTACAAAAATAAAATGGGTTGCAAATTGCAATTCACATTTATAGATAAATATCTAGGTAGCACAAACACCTAAACAAATCAAAAAGCACAAAATCTGATTTGGAAACGTACTAAATCAGGACGGTAATACTGATGCACAACCTGTGCTCCAGCAAACATTGACAACACACTGGCTCCAAACATCCTTAGATATCTTGGCCACGATACACCTGCTGGCATCCTTAAAAGTCAGCTGGCTGACAAATGTTCTGCCGATTAAGAGAATTTGTACCTAAAGAAAGAAAAACTGTTTATTTCAATTGCCCTTCTAATTGCTCTGTTAATATTTAAATAGAAAGGAAATATTGGGTAATGTTAACCCATACCAACAATTAAATTATTTAATGACTATATTAAATAACAACACCAAATATTATTCGATTATTTATAAAATTATATCAAAATGACAATAAAAACAAAACGCAATTATATTTTATGTTTAAATCAACACAGCTAGTCTAAATACACCATTTCATATTGGTTAATCAAAGCTTATTTAAATGCAACTCAAAAAAAAATAAAAATGAACACTTAAGCATTTCATGTGACATAGCTAAGTATTTTATCAGTCAATTTAATCACTTCTTGCTATAAGGTCATTTCATCACAGCTAGCTATCTTAAAC